ACATACATTTTTTATATAGTTTAGCAAATTTTTATTTAGTTTCATTTTTACTTGACATACTAAATAAACTACAACTAAAATAAAAATGAATAAAATCTATAAAGACATTAAAATATATAAAACTTTTAAATAAAAATGAAACGGTATAAAACTGAAAACATTCAAAATATTACTAAAAACTAAAATATTTCAAATATACCAAAATAGCACTGTAAAATAGGTAGTCATTCAGTAGGAGGTTGAATCTCCTGAATTAATTGGACTTTGTTAAAATTACCTTTAGCAGGATTCACAGATATCCCTGACTTGTATAGCATCTCCTCATTTTGCCAGTCACGATTCCTCAACACCGTCTTAATCCCAAAAAGAAGGACCAGGGCGGCAGAGCAGACTAGCACCAAAGTTCTGAAGGACTTCCTTCTCAATCTGACATATAAAGCTCTCATCCCCACTGCTACCAGCAGGCAGAAGCCCATACTAGGGATGTACAGTACTCGCTCCGCTACCACAAACCCCACATAGAAGAATAGGTTGGTGGCAGGGATGAAGGGAACAGCCAGCAGACCCAATGAGAAGACCACCAAACTCTCTGTGGTGGGTAAAGACGATGAATAGTGATTTGCAGTACCATTTGTTCCATTCACCTGCACTGAGTTTGAGTAAAGAGTTGAGTGTTCATAATCAGAGCTACAACTGTGTCCGTTTGTGGACTTCCCGTTTGCTACATGATGTGCTTTCCCGTTGGCCTCCTTGCTTTTGGTTGGGTAAAGGCAAAGCCCGAACCAAACCAGCGCTAGAAGCGAGGTATAGAAGGTCACGGTGTGGAGGTTTCGCCAATCTGTAATGCTCCTCAGAAGAGGCAGAGCATCCATTGACCAATCAAAACTTAGCATGTCAGGGCACAGGAGGAGCCAAACATTCATGGCAGGGAGAAAAAAGAACGTTAGCATCCTAGTTAGGAAACAAGGACAGTCTGCTGCAGGGTTGTCCGAGTTGGAGAAGTTCGGAGGTTTGTTGCCCATCCAGTAAAGACGGCAAGCCAGAAGGATGATACCCCAAAAGCCCAGCAGAAACACGTTTAACAGCAGGTGCAGGTTCTTCTTCTGAGAAACAAAAACAGAGAAAAACAACATAGATGAAAAGACAAAATTACCGGAATTTCAAAGAAGATATGGCAGAATCAAACATATTAAAATTCATAAAATGAAAGAAATTGGGCTGGGGACATCCAACCTACAACACACACACACAACAAAGAACTTGATTTCATTTAGAAAAAGTAATAAATAGCCATTTACAAAACTAAAGAAACGTAAAAACTAAAGAAATATAAAACAACCAAATAACACCAAACAAAAACAAAACTAAAGCAAACCAAAATATAACAAACCAAAACAAATATAAAAACAAAAGAAATATAAAACAACCAAATAACACCAAACAAAAAACTAAACTAAAGCAAACCAAACCATTAAAGTATAACAAACCAAAACAAAACTAAACTAAATAATATTAACAATAACACACAACATAGATGAAAACAAAGTGACTGGAACATTTCAAAAAAGGACACGGCAAAATCATTTTTTTTCAATATGGCTTTGCCTTGTGCTCACGTCTGGCCCAGGTCTTGTGGTCTTGTTAGTAAATCAATACCAAGATTGAACAATAAGCCAAAGATTTCCAACTGCATTAAATATTAAAGAAAAATTCAGAACAAAAGGCAACAGATCCAACAGTAAGTAAATTGAGACCGGAAAAATAAACACTGGAGCACAATTTGGAACACAAGCAACCTTCATGAGCAATTTGTTGGAGTCTTAAGAGTTATTCGATACATACTGTACCACATGCGCGTATTACAGTTTCATTGTGACATCAATCCTTACGAGGCCTGTGATGGTTAACGAGAATCAGCCCTTTGCATCTCCAGTCACTGCAAACAATTTAAAACTCTTGGCTTTTCAGAGAGGCCAGAATAATAAACGTAGTGTCACTGACTGCTGGTCAGCGAGTACAGCTTGACGTCACAACACAAGGCAGCACCACATTCATCTCTGTCTCGTACTGCCGGCTTTTACAGACTTTATAAAATAAACAAGATATGACCTCATAGAGGTGCCAACCCATCATACTGCAGCGCTGATATTAAACACTCCAGCATGAAAATTAGTTCAGTATTTATGTGTTTGAATATTTTACATGTTAAGTAAAAGGAGGGAATATTGTACAGTTCCTGGTAGAGCAGCTGCAAAAGTTCAGTACGCCTTCCTTTTGGTGTTGATTTTGGATCGAGGACACCCTCAAGCAATTTTATGACTTCCTCCAAACACGGAACTCATTCGGTACAGACGGCAAACAAACACGCAGATGATTACTTCAAGGCCTTTAAACGGACAGTTCACCCAAAAATTAGTATTCTGCAATCATCCTTTTTTTCATGTCGTTCCAAACGTGTATGACTTTCCTCGTTAGACAGGATGTTAACACTGATTTCTCCAAAAAATAAAAAGTGAATAAGGCCAGAGACTGTTGAGCTGGAGAAATGACAAATTATTTGTCTTACACAATTTGTGAGGAACAGAGGAAAATTTAAGTCATTATTTGCTGAACATCATTGATGACAAATGCATGTTTCATAATGATATTTGAGATCTGTGGTGGAGGGGAAATTTTCATCTAGTAACATATTCTTGTCATATATGGAGTATTTTTAAACTTGTTCATAATGAGTTTGATAGAATTCGTCCCTATTCACTTTCAATGAATGGCATATAACCGAATAAATCTCCTTTTGTATTCCACAGGTTTGGAACAATGTAAGTAAATGATGACAATTTCATTTCATAACCCTTACAAGATGTTATGTACATTTGGAAAACGCTCATATTAAAGATTAATGTGGGAAAGCTTCCCCTAAAGATTATTTGTGAACCATTTTGTCAGTCCATAATACCAATTATTGTAACTCATTAACAGAATGACTGTGATACAGTGACTATGTGTTCTGCATTAATGTCCAGCTGCTTTATACAGGATCGATTTTTGGTCATCTCTGCGTTAGAGAAAGAGCACATTATTACTTCTCACAGGGGAAATATCTGTAACAGGCCACTTCCCATGTAATCATGTTATAGCACAGATGTATAAAGCATGTTCCAAATGACATAACCTTTACCGTAAGACCTGACAGACACGCAGCTCTGAATCTGTGATATGATAACACAGCAAAGGGCCACATGCCACCAAGAAATTGGCAATTTAAAAAAAAAAATTTTTTTTTTTTAATTGAATGAATAAATAAAATAATAACTAAAAATATAACAATAAATTTACTTTTTGGCGTTAAAGCCAAAAAAATATTTTGGTTTTACTAAATGAATAAAACATACAATGTGAAATAAATTAATTAATGTAAAATATGTTATATATATAACTAAATTATATACGAGAGTTATTTAAAAGCAAGCTTGCTGTTCTGTTTTGCAACTTAAACTTTTAACTGCCTGTGTCTCTTGGTTCCTGTGACATCTGTTTAAGTTTACTGACCTCAGGCATGAGGGGAGCATTAATGACTGCAAAAGATGAAGCAATACAATTAACTACAACACATATATAAAATGAATACAGTAAGATATTACACACATTAAATATTTACATACATAAAAATGGTTTACATGATAGCTGTTGATAATATCTGAAGGTGTTTTGATTTCATGTATACAGTACAGCTGGCTGTCTCAGGTGGACCATCCCAGCGGAGTGAACTGTAGGCTGAAGGGAAGAGGTCGTAAAGGGAGGGTCCCACAGGGGTTTTGAAGCAGCAGGCTACAGAGGCCGAGCGGAACAATTCGACTGAAGAGAAATACAGAACTGCATTCAGGCAGGTTCTGAATCTCTGAACCTAAACTGCATTGGTATGAAGGTTACAAACAAAGGCCCACATACTGTATATCTCTAAAATACAAATTTGTTAGAAGAAAATAATGCAGTAAGCAGAGCAATTAAAAATGTTCTCAAATAAACAATTCAGCATTGATTCTTAAACAACCAATATTGATATTTCAATCCAAGGCTTTTTTTGATTACATTTTTTTCATATATAAATGTGAAATAATTAATATAATAATACGTTTATTTACATAAATACACTTAAAACTAAATGCAATGCTATTGTTGATTGGAAATTAGTGATAAAGTGTTCATATATTAAAACTCACATATTAAAAATATATTTAAATTTAGTTTTGTGGATAATAGCAGTCTTAGGTATGCTTTTTTATATTTGGCTGTTGCATTACTTAAGAAATTTGAGATTAAATATTTGGAAAAAATTTGCCATTTACATTTGTGTCAACAAGCCAACTATGGAAACACAATTTATTTTTCCTAGAAATAAATGTAAAATAATTCATATTAATACAACATTTATTAATATAAATAATATACATAAAAATGCTATTGTTGACTTCAAATCCATTGGAAATTAGCGCCAATACCCAGCTCTAGCAAATGTAAAATTAAGTGTTCATATATGAAATAATTAATATAATAATACGTTTATTTACATAAATACACTTAAAACTAAATGCAATGCTATTGTTGATTGGAAATTAGTGATAAAGTGTTCATATATTAAAACTCACATATTAAAAATATATTTAAATTTAGTTTTGTGGATAATAGCAGTCTTAGGTATGCTTTTTTATATTTGGCTGTTGCATTACTTAAGAAATTTGAGATTAAATATTTGGAAAAAATTTGCCATTTACATTTGTGTCAACAAGCCAACTATGGAAACACAATTTATTTTTCCTAGAAATAAATGTAAAATAATTCATATTAATAAAACATTTATTAATATAAATAATATACATAAAAATGCTATTGTTGACTTCAAATCCATTGGAAATTAGCGCCAATACCCAGCTCTAGCAATTGTAAAATTAAGTGTTCATATATCAAGACTCAATTTAAACTTTGTTTTATAGATAATTTTATTTGCAGAAAGTTGTCTTTCGGTATTCTTTATACTTAAGAAATGTAAGATTAAATGTTTGAAAAGAAAATGACCCATTTACAATGATAAAAGCATCTAAAAAAGCAATGTGGTCATTGTTATTTCTGCATATATTTGCATAGAGAATTGTGACCGTTCTTCTTTCTAATATCTATTCAACCATCTACAGTTGTCTTCACACAAAAAATACATTGTGATGATTCTCATGGACAGCTGACTGAAAACAAGACACCTGCCGAGTGTCAAGACCAATTTCAAGTGGCATTTTATTTGTGCAAAATGCGAAGTTGTAAGACTAAAAACTTTTTTTTTTTTGCCTTGCAAGTTCTGCTATTTCCTTTTGGTTGCACTTGAAAGTCCTTGCATACTTCACTACATCTGTAGTACAGAGGCAATTCCTGTCCCTAATTAGTGAACTACACCAGTAAGAGAGCGACGATCACATAGCATATAGGCATAATTACATCCTTGGAGTCAAAAAATTCATACCAGGAAAAGGCTTACAAAATGTCTTCACATCTAATGAGACTTCTCTCCTGAATGTTTCTCTTCATAGATAAAGGATTTTCCAAGGGGCCAGGAGAGCTTTGGGGTGATGTATTACCAATCTACATCTAGCACTGAAGGACTGTGAATTCAAACAGATGAAAGTACGAGAGACATTCATTCTTTTCAACAGATATAAATCTCTGCAAATAAGTGTGGTGATGGGGACGCATCTGTCATTTTAGTGCATGCACGAGCGAATGACTGAACTCCACATGACCCTGTCAGCCAATCTCACCAAAAGCCTGTAAATATGGGCCGTTTCTTGCACACACACACATACAAATATATATATAAAAAAAACCTCAACTCTATACAAATTACCGGTGGTCTACGGGCGCTTAGTGGGGGTGAGACGGTGCGAGTGAGACAGATTGTGGAGCTCTAGCGGAGGCTGAAGATCTGTCAGTGAGGTCATGCGGGAGTGTGAACGCTTGCACACAGGATTCTCGCTGGATTTATGAGGCGGCTGCAGGTTTGGTACTGCACAGGCTCTCGAAAACCAGCAGGGGTTTTTAGCACTTGAAGGTTTGGAGC